CAACTGCCCCTCAAGTAAAGTGTGTCAGATTTGCTCCAAACATCACCATACTCTATTGCATGAGCCCACACGTAGTTCACTTCAGTCACAGTCAAGCTATCAAACTAAGCTGTCTCCTCAAAATAAGACCTACACACCTAATTCATCTTCAAAGAATACAACAACTATTAATCCTACTGCTTCTACAAACGTTAACGCTTTTGTAGGATTGTCTAGTCAACTCAATCCAACTAAAACCACAATCCTTCTTGGTACATGTTTAGTTCATGTCTCTTCACAACATGGTCAACATACTGTACTCCGTGCTGTGCTCGACTCCGCTGCCCAACTTACCCTTATATCAGAGAAAGCTATTCAACTCATCAACGCCCCACGTACTCGACTCCATGATGAAATAAAAGGAATCTCTGGTGCAGTTATTAATTCTAGAGGTATCGTACATGTCAACATGTCTGCGATCAATGGAAATCCTTTGGCTAAAAACCATCCTTGTATGGTTTTGAGTAGTATCACATCACCCCTGCCTCAGATACCAGTTTCACACCAGGTTAAGGAATCTTTGAAACATTTTATCCTAGCCGATCCCTGTTTCGATCAGCCTGGAGAGATAGATTTACTTATCGGTGCAGACTTATTTGCCCTAACCCTCACAGGCGAACAGCATAGATTAGGACAAAATTTACCTCAAGCTCTTGGAACCATTTTTGGTTTTGTTGTGATGGGCCTCGCTCCTGTAGCCTCTGTAGCAGGAAACTCATCAAACACATTTCCCATCTCACTCTTGACAACTCATGATTTGGATCTTCATAATTCACTTCAAAAATTCTGGACACTAGAAGAACCCCCAATACGGATCAAGGCTCAGACTGAGGAAGATACCCTCTGTTTACAACATTTTGAAAACACCCATAGACGTGATGACTCAGGTCGTTACATAATCGAGCTGCCCAAGAAACCAAATCATTCCCCTCTTGGTGAATCTTGTAACAAAGCACAATTGAGACTTAGCTCGATGGAAAGGAAATTCTCTAATCAACCCGAGTTACAAAGGCTCTATTCTGAATTTATGGATGACTACATTGAATCAGGTCATATGACTATTTGTAAAGAACCTCCCACCTCTGAATACTATTATTTGCCTCACCACGGTGTCTTCAAGGAGAATCCCCCGAATTCAAAAATACGTGTTGTTTTTGACGGCAGCGCTAAAACTACTAATGGCATATCATTGAACGACATTCTCATGCCTGGTCCCAAACTTCAAAATGATATCAGTGATGTTTTATTGTATTTTAGATGTCATAAAATTGTATTCACCTGTGACATACGTCAAATGTATCGTCAGATCTTGGTTTCTGATAAGGACAAAAGTTATCAAATGATATACTGGCGTGCTAGTCCAGATGATCCACTCCAAACGTACAAACTCAATACAGTTACATATGGGCTTAATTGTTCCCCTTTTATTGCAATCAAAACCTTGCACCAGCTAGTTTTGGACGAAGGTCAACCATACCCACAAGCTTCTGATATCTTGACCAAGTCTATCTTCTATGATGATATTATAGCTGGAGCTGAAGATCTTGATAAAGCTATGTCAGCTCAAAATGAACTGAAAACATTGCTGTCTAAAGGCGGTTTTGAACTCCGTAAGTGGATCAGTAATGCACCCCAACTCTTGGATCAGATTCCAGTCGAACACAAAGAATCACCAGTGGAGTTGACTGATGGTAGTGAGGCCTTCTACAGTGTATTGGGTTTAAGATGGACCCCAGAGACAGACATGCTCTCATACAAAGTAAAGAATGTTGAAGTAGGCCACTTGCTAACCAAGAGAATGATTCTCTCAACAATCGCTAAACTCTATGATCTCCCAGGATTTCTCACACCTGTAATATTTTGGGCTAAAACACTCATTCAATATCTTTGGACCACAGGTCTAAAATGGGATGATCCAATTCAAGATGAGATAAGAACAAAATGGATTTCCTTTTTAGAAGAACTACCTGTGATCCAAAACCTAAGGATCCCACGTTACATCTTTACCTCAACTCATAAGCTTGCAGAACTTCATGGTTTCAGCGATGCTTCGGAGAAAGGATATGCTGCAGTAGTCTACCTCCGTGTGATCAACTTATCGAATGATGTTAAAATTAATCTGATAATGGCCAAATCTAAAGTCGCCCCACTAAAAAGAGTATCTCTGCCTCGTCTCGAACTGTGCGGTGCTCACCTACTTGGAAAGCTCCTGCAATACTGTTCAAATCTTCTTTCGTCCCACATTAAGATTGACTCGATGTATGCATGGTGTGACTCTACCATTGTTCTTACATGGATACGCACTCACCCCTATCGCTTAAAAGTTTATGTGGCCAACCGTGTCTCAGAACTACAAGAATTAATTTCTCCTGAATCATGGCATTACGTCAAGTCCCTAGACAACCCAGCAGATTGTGCAACCCGAGGACTCTCCCCATCTCAACTCTTAAGCCACCAATTGTGGTGGAAGGGACCTGAATGGTTATACTTGTCATCAGATCTTTGGCCAAAGCCCGAATTCAGTTTAATCACTGATCAAGACACTCTTGAAGTCAAACCAAATCCCTTGAATGTCCTAGTTAACGTTGAAAAGTTAGAAAATTACAGATTTGATTTACTTGAAAAATTCTCATGCTTTAGAAAACTTGTAAATGTCACTGCTTATGTTCTACGATTCATCCATAATATTTGTGGGAACGCCCGACTAGCTGGACAACTTAGTTATAAAGAGATCTCTTCTGCTAAAATGAATCTCTTCAAACTCATTCAAATTTCATCTTTCAAGGATGACATCACAGCTCTGAAAAAGGGCACTCAGTGCAGCTTAAGACTGGCTCGGTTATCACCTTACATTGACGATAACGGTTTGGTAAGAGTAGGCGGTAGGTTGAAACATTCGAACCTTACTCAAGATGCCAAATACCCAATCCTGTTACCTAAATCTCATAATGTTGTAAAACTGTTGGTCATGCACTATCATCTCAAATATTTACACGCAGGCCCTCAGTTGCTGCAATCGATCCTCACTCAAGAAGTATGGATATTATCTGCTCGTAGTGTAATCAGATCTGTAATCTTTAAATGTCAAAGATGTTTTAAGTTGAAACCTACAAATCAACCTCCACTTATGGGAGACTTACCCGAAACTCGACTACGGCCTGTAAGACCATTCTATCATACTGGCATGGATTATAGCGGTCACTTTGAAGTGAAAGTACACACCACTAGGAATTCTCAAAAGCTTAAGTCATACCTCTGCCTATTTGTTTGCTTTACCACAAAAGCGGTGCACTTGGAAGTTGTAACTGATCTCTCAGTGGACTCATTCATTGCTGCTCTTAAAAGATTTGTTTCTCGTCGTGGACTTTGTGCTCACCTATACTCTGATTGTGGAACAAACTATGTCGGTGCCTCCAAGCAACTGAATAAGACCTTCCAGAATTTCATTGATGAAAGGAATACTCAAGATGCTCTCACTAACTTCGCCCTCGATCATTCAATTAATTTTCATTTCCAACCACCAGCCGCGCCTCACCAAGGAGGCCTTTGGGAGAGTGCCATAAAGAGCTCAAAGTACCATCTCAAGAGAGTAATTGGAGATCAAATTCTAACACTAATGGAGCTGATAACTCTTGTCACGCAGGTGGAAGCAGTATTGAACTCTCGTCCACTAACAGCTCTATCAGCAGATCCATCTGACATCACAGCACTCACCCCAGGTCATTTTCTCATCGGGACATCTCTTGTTGCAGTACCTGAAGTAAATGTATCCGATATTCCTGACAATCGACTAAAGCATTGGCAAACAGTTCAGGCTCTACATCAACGCTTCTGGAGAAGGTGGCACCAAGAGTATTTGCACCAGCTTCAACAAAGGAAAAAGTGGATAAAGCCAAACAAGAATCTTGAAGTAGGCGATTTAGTCATTATCCATGACCCAAAAACACCACCACTTCTCTGGCCTCTTGGTCGCATTGTGAAGACATCACCTGGAGCAGATGGCATCGTTCGAGTTGTCTCCATCAAGACTTCGAGAGGAATTTTCTGTCGCCCTGCTACCAAGGTGTACCCGCTCCCCTAATCACAAAACATTTCTATTCAATGTCCTATTTCATGTTTATTTATATTTATAATTATCATATTTATCATATCTTATAATTAGGTGTGTCATCATTATCTATTGTGTATATATATCTACATTGTATTACTTGTGCCCATTTATGAGTCAATGAATCAATTTATGAATCTGTTGAACCATGTATGGTTCAAGGCGGGCGGCATGTTCCGTATTCAAGCATCTACGCAACCAGGTGAATCCAGACTTCATTCATATTTTGTTCTGACCCTTGCCCTGTCACGTGATGTCTGGCAATTTCCCCCATTCCTCATGTACTCTTCAACCCGGCATCATGTTCTCGCCATTTTCCCTAGTTTTGTATTATAATATTCCCCTACTCTATTTGTGGCATATAAATTGAACTTATATTATCGTATGTTTATCTTATGTATTTATTTGTGACACACCTAACAAAAAAGTGAACTGAATAGTTAAAAACTGTATTCAAACTGTTCTTGGTGCAACTACCGGTCGCGTACGCGAAAGCTGGCCAGCAAACATCAAGTGCGTCAACGGTCTACTAGACATCACTTCAGTAAAAAGGAAGGTACCAAATCACATTTCTTCCTATTTAAAAGTTTATTATTTTGTGCTCACAGTGTGTCTCTAAAGCTGATCTTAACATAATATATCTCACATCCCTCATTTTTTATACAGTCCACCATATCGAAGTTTACCCCCCAATGGTAATGAGGGGAGTATAACTTCAAGAAACAGATCGATTCCTGTGCATGACGGCTGGGTTGTACCGTATAACTCAGCATTGCTTCTAAAATATGAGGCACACATCAACTTAGAGGTAGCTTCCACTCGACGAGTGATTAAGTATCTATTTAAATATCTAATGAAGGGTGGCTCGCTTCAGAACGTCAAAGTTACTCCTTTGAGTAAACAAGACGATGAAGTCGAGCACTATGTGACTAAGCGTATGGTGGGAGCCAGTGATGCATGCTGGCGTCTCTTGGATTTCCCAATATCAAAGTCTGAGCCCACCGTTGAATGTCTCCCTGTTCATCTAGAGGGAAAACAGAATGTGTGTTTTCGACCTAACAACTTGACACACGCCACTTCTGGAGCTACCTCTGACTTGATCTTTTATTTCAATAGGCCTCGTGACCCAATGTTTGACAATTTGACGTACCAGTGTTTTTTTGAACAATACATTGTTCACAGCAAACGTCCAAGTAGTGCTGAGGTTTACGAACATCCAGACGGTAAGCACTTCTTAACTTCCAGAAAACGTGGCCAAAAGATCTGTCGACTCTTCTGGGTTTCACCAAACAGGAGTGAGCAATATTTTCTTCGGCTGCTGCTCATGATCATACCATGCCGTGGTTACGCCGATCTGCTCACTCGAGGTGGTGATGGTTGCACTACATTCCAACAAGTAGCACGCACCCTCGGTTTGGTTGAAGATGAGGACGAGTACCACCAGGCACTGAAGGAAGCTGCTCGATTTATGGTCGGCCCGAGGCTCCGCTCTTTCTTTGTTCTACTTTGTAACATGGGAGCTCCCGCGGCCCTCTTGTGGGATGCTTTCCGGGATACATTGTGTGAGGACCATTTGGAGCGGAATCCTCTTGATCACGACGTTGCTTTCAAGCTGGGTCTGATTGAAATCGATCGAAGTCTTCGCCGTCAGGGGTCCTGCTTGGCCGACCACGGTCTGCCCATTGTAGATGACGACACGACCGAATTGGGTAGGGAACTACTCATCTACGGTGAGAATCAACAGAGATCACTAGTAGATGAGTGGGAACCAAAGCTTTCCAACGACCAGAGAGTGGTGTTTGATTATGTAAGATCGATATTACATGGCCAGGTTGGTAGTCGGTCCATAAAACTTATCTTCCTCGACGGACCTGGCGGCTACGGCAAGACCTTCTTAATTCATGTGATCCTCGCATACGTTCGTAGTCTTAACAGGGTTGCTATTGCTGTCGCTAGCTCCGGCATTGCTGCTGGTAGTCTGCCTGGTGGCACGACAGCACACAGTATGTTTAGGCTGCCACTTGATCTCGGCGATGGCACTGGGTATTGGAACTTGACCAACGGATCTCAGCGTGCAGAACTCATCAGAGCAGCCCAGCTCATAGTTTTTGATGAGGCCCCGATGGCTCACCGGTACATTTTTGAAATCATCGACAGATCTCTGCGTGACCTTATGAATTCACCTGAGCCATTTGGGAACAAGATCTTCCTCTGCTGCGGAGATTTCCGTCAGATCGCACCAGTTGTAGCTAAAGCTCGTACTCCAGCAGACATTGCTTGTGTATCACTGTGTGCGTCATCTCTGTGGTCAAGCTTCAAAATCTTTTCCCTGTCCACCCCTCACAGAACTTCTGGCTCCACTGCGTACTCTGAGTTTCTCCTTAAAGTAGGCAATGGAACAATTAGATCTGTTGATTTTGAAGAAGGCCGTGGCTGCTCAAGTCTGATTCCTTTGAGCGGTATTAGATATGTGACATCACTACACGATTTAGTTGACTTTGTATTCCCCGTTTGTGACCTGAGCCATACAGATAGAATCGCTGGCCGGGCTATTCTTTCAACCATGAACGCCAATGTCCAGCAGATCAACAACACTGTTCTCAACCTGACGGACGGCTTCGTTCATGAGTTGAGAAGTGCTGATTCTGTGGACAAGGAGAACGACGATGGTATGGATGTAGACGTTCACTTGTTGAACCAGGCTACTGGCAAGGGCGTGCCAGACCATGTCCTGCGACTAAAGATTGGCTCCATGTGTCTCGTCATGAGGAACCTGAACATTGACAGCGGACTTGTTAACGGCACTAAAGTGATCGTGACCGCTATTAGACCTCGTCTGATCACAGTGCGACTTCCTGGACAACGCGATCCGATTTGTATTCCCCGGATTCAATTCGTTTTCCCGTTTGTCGAGGGGTCTCCGCTTCGCGTCCGCCGTCTTCAGTTTCCTCTCATGTTGGCCTATTCCATGACTGGCCACAAAAGCCAGGGCCAGACGATTGATCGTGTCGGAGTCGATCTTCGCAGTGACTGTTTCACGCATGGTCAACTGTACGTCCTTCTCAGTAGAGTCAGACATCCTGACGACATCGTTGTTCTGGTCCATCCTGACAGGGTCCACGAAGGAGTTGCCTATGCAAAGAACATTGTATACGACGAGCTCCTTCGTTAATTCCTACTTTGACCTAAGCAGTAGGCTAGGGGATCTGCTTCAACAAAACTCCCCGTCGTGATTTGACATCCATGGCAGTACGACAAGGGGTCTGCCTTAACAAAAGTCCCCGACCTTTAGTTTGTTATTGTGTATTTGGTGTGTTTCGTGTGTTTTTGTGTGTTTCTTGTGTTTTTGTGTGTTTCGTGTGTTTTTGTCTGTTTTGTGTTACTGTTTGTGGTTCCGACGTTTCCCGGCCTCCCCGTGGCGGAACTGGATATGCCATACAGTTTGTGGCTAACTGACAGGGAAACAAACATTACTTGATCTATTTTCATTAATAAATTTATAAATGTTTACTAACATCTTTTTACTTGAAATAATATAACTTTTAATATAAATAATTGTAAATTAATATGGTTCCTACGTTTCCTGGCCTCCCCGTGGCGGAACTGGATATGCCATACAGTTTGTGGCTAACTGACAGGGAAACAAAACTAACTTAATATATTTTCATAAACTTATACATGAATATTTACGATGAACTATTTACTTAATATAATACTTTACTATTCTCTACTTATCAATCTACTCGAATATTTTGTGAAATGGTTATTACTTCAATATCGATTTTCGCTATTACAACCCCACAAAGAATTTAGAGATGCGGAGAGTGCTTTCTAGACCACTTCTAGGTGTGCTACGGGCTTGAAATTTCCCCGGCTTCTTGGTGATGGCCTCTCACCCCTTCCTAAATTTCTGAATGACGACTAACAGCTAGGGGGCCTGGGGGCGGAGCCCCCAGCGAGCCAAAGGCGAGTACAAAGTATACAGTTAAAAGAATAAAGCTTTATCCTTAAAATATAACAAAGATTTGCCAGAATAACAATTTACAGTAGAATAAACATATTTTCTAGGGGTCAAACGAACATTCGCAAGAACGAGGCTAATCTGGGCCGCCCCATAGTTTTTGATCCGAAAATACATTGTTGATAGCATCATCATACACTCTTTCTTTTTTACTCCTCTCGTTGTATCAAAATAAATTATTCACAAAAATGGATAATGTTATATGATGTAAAATAATGTACCCAACAATTAATTTTGGTCCTATAATATTTTTCCTTTGCCGTGTTCATTCACATGCCACACATGAATCTTTTTACTGACAGGTCTTATATATTTGTATTAATAACTTTACAAATCCATGTTTATGGACTCTAGCTATCTAAAACACAATGAACGATCTTTTTCCAACAGTTAGATATGGCTGCTGTGCAATGAAAAAGTCAAAACACTTGAATTAATTAATTTTTCTGCCGAAATCAATTATTTACAAAAATTAAATAATGCCATACGATGTAGTGTCCAACAATTATGGCCATGTTCATGTAACATCTTTATTGTATCTAGTGTAATCTTAAGTTATTTTGAGCCTGAAGTCCAGCTAACGTCTTTAGCGCTCAGCTTACAACGAGTTTTCATAATCATAAAACTATTATGTAAAGATCCCCCCCCCACTTTTTATCGTTTCAAATAGTATTATACTTGAATGTATAACATATGAAAAAACCCCGCAACTGCAAGTAAGCGAATTCCATTTGCCTGATTGGGTGTACACTAAAAATGCCTCCTTAAAAATACCACATTTATTCCCTATTTAAATATAATTAGTTTAACGAGTACTTAGGTTTGATGCAACAAGGGCGGTAAAAAGGTGTTTTTTTTTCAAAATGTTAATAGTTTAGTAAGTAATGAATGTATTTTCCGAATTTGATCAAAATATGTTAATAAAAAAGCAAACCACAGTTGACTTATTCTTAAATCTTGAGGAGATATTTTGTTGTTGTTGTACTTTCAAAATCTATACGTTTTTTCTGAAGTCGAAATTAAAATTGAATATTTTTGTTATTATCTGCACAGTACTTTGTTAATAGTTAATATATAATATACCGTTTTACTGGACTGATGGCTTGATTCGTGGAGATTAAGATTTGCAAATCATGAATTATGAAAGTTTGTTTTAGTTATGGTTTATGGTGATAAAAAAAACCCTGTTTTCCATTTTATAAATAAAAAACAATTGTATTTTACACGGTTTCTTATTTGGAGGAAACTTTCTCCTACCTTTATTAACCCTTAATTTGACAGCGTGCCATTATTGGCACATGAGGATTCAAAAAAATGTCACGTTCGCCTGTTAACTTTTTAATTCCAACAAACGGCGTCCAAAGGTTCTTTGCCTATTGCTATTATGGTTTAGTGCACTATAGTGAAAGTTTTGGAAATTACTATTAGTCCAGCAGCTAGCTATACTTTAGTGTGCAAACTTGCGTATACTCAATATTCTTGCATAACGTTTTAGTTTGATGTCTAGGGAGTTTAAAAAACCTGGGTGTTTACCTCCTACCCCCCACGTTTTCCGGCTATGACGTAATCAAAATGGCGGCCATTGATTTTTAAAAAGCGTATATTTCGCAAACTATTTGTCGGATCGGAATGAACTTTTTTTTATTTGAAAGATAAGTTTACATGCTATCTGTTTTACATTTACATATTTGTTGTATGTTTAGGAAATTTTTCGTAATTTTGCAAAAATCTGTATTTTTAAATATTTTTGTGTTATTTTTGTTTGTAACGTTTTATTGATACAGTATATCAAAAACCACCAATGGAAAAAGTTGTAGAACATTTAAAAAGCTTTACAAAAATACCAAATTCGATATGTTTTACTCAAAATATTACGTCAGGAAACTAGATAAATCTCATAAAAACACCTATTTTGGCGCAAAAACGCCTATTAGTCCGGCATCTAGGGCAGTGCACAAGTCTTATATAGACAGTTTTACCATTCAATGTTGATGTATGTGTCTAAATAAGTGTTTTCAACTCGGGTGTCACTTCTGCACCCACTGCAGTTTCCGGTTATGACGTCATCAAAATGGCGGAAAGGGCTATATTAAAAATAACTATATTTTACATACCATGTATCGGATTGGAATGAACTTTTTTTTGTTTGAAAGATAAGTTTACATGCTATCTTTCATACTTTTACACTTTTGTTGTATGTTTAGTGCATTTTTCGTAATTTTGCAAAAACCTATATTTTTAAATATTTTTGTGATACTTTTGTTGATTACGTTTTATTGATACAATATATCAGAAATAACTTAAAGAGAAGGTTACAGCACGTTTAAAGGGCTTTACAAAAATACCAAATTCGATATGCTTTATTCAAAGGATCACGTCAAGAAACTAGAAAAATTGTACAAAACAACCTAATTTGGCGCAAAAACTCATATAAATCCGACACCGATGGCTGTGTACGAGTCATATATACACAGTTTTACCATTCAATGTTGATGTATGTGTCTATAGAAGTGTTTTTAACTCGGGTATCACGTCTGGACCCACTGCAGTTTCCGGTTATGATGTCTTTAAAATTGCTACATGTTACGATTTCACCAACTATTTTACTTAAAATAAGACCATTACCCCCTTTTATGCAAATAAAAGCACAACAAATCAATGTAATTAGTCCATAGGAAGTTTCCCACTATATAAATACCCCCGGTGCAGCAATCCTGTCGACTAAGCGAATTTCCATTTGCCTGGATTGACTTTTCAATAATTATATTAAATTAACATTGTTTAAGAGTAACTAGGTTTGCTGCTCAAGGGAAACTAATAAAGTGGACTTTTTATTCAAGTATTAATGGCTTAGTGTTGGATAAATAAATCTGCCAAGTTTGATCAAAATATATCCATAAACAAGCCAACTACTACATTTACAATATTGTCCATAAAAATAACATAGGAATTTTAAATGAAAAATGTTTTTATTTTCTCCTTAACCAATAACCGTACAAAAACGCTTTTACAAACTACATTATTTGTTTTTTTCAAGGTCTTTCAAAAGGTTCGGAGAAAAATTGATAAATTTTGTGTTATAAGGGTAAAAAAAGAGAAAATCCCATTTTAGTCCCATAAAACCCCTCTTTGAACTCCGTTCCTATGGTCCGATCATGCTGGTTCGCAAAATTATTCAAATTAATCCTGCCTTACACCTTCAAACCAAATTTCATCTATTAGTTGGACACAAATGGTGGAAGTCAGTTACGTGATTTTCAAAAGCATATTTTAGCAAATTTTCCACATTTGAAAGTAGCTATTATCGCAAGTCTCATGGTAATACCTAGGTCCGGGACCGTTTACATTTTTTAATTTGATATCCCCAGAGGCCAAAAACATGTGTGTTCAAATGTTAGATTGTTAGATGAAATTTGGTTTGAAGGTGTAAGGCAGGATTAATTTGAATAATTTTGCGAACCAGCATGATCGGACCATAGGAACGGAGTTCAAAGAGGGGTTTTATGGGACTAAAATGGGATTTTCTCTTTTTTTACCCTTATAACACAAAATTTATCAATTTTTCTCCGAACCTTTTGAAAGACCTTGAAAAAAACAAATAATATAGTTGGTAAAAGCGTTTTTGTACGGTTATTGGTTAAGGAGAAAATAAAAACATTTTTCATTTAAAATTCCAATGTTATTTTTATGGACAATATTGTAAATGTAGTAGTTGGCTTGTTTATGGATATATTTTGATCAAACTTGGCAGATTTATTTATCCAACACTAAGCCATTACTACTTGAATAAAAAGTCCACTTTATTAGTTTCCCTAGAGCAGCAAACCTAGGCACTCTTAAACAATGTTAATTTAATATATTAATTGAAAAATCAATCCAGTCAAATGGAAATTCGTTTAGTCAACAGGATTGCTGCACCGGGGGTATTTATATAGTGGGAAACTTCCTATGGACTAATTACATTGATTTGTTGTGCTTTTATTTGCATAAAAGGGGGTAATGGTCTTATTTTAAGTAAAATAGTTGGTGAAATCGTAACATGTAGCAATTTTAAAGACATCATAACCGGAAACTGCAGTGGGTCCAGACGTGATACCCGAGTTAAAAACACTTCTATAGACACATACATCAACATTGAATGGTAAAACTGTGTATATATGACTCGTACACAGCCATCGGTGTCGGATTTATATGAGTTTTTGCGCCAAATTAGGTTGTTTTGTACAATTTTTCTAGTTTCTTGACGTGATCCTTTGAATAAAGCATATCGAATTTGGTATTTTTGTAAAGCCCTTTTAACGTGCTGTAACCTTCTCTTTAAGTTATTTCTGATATATTGTATCAATAAAACGTAATCAACAAAAATATCACAAAAATATTTAAAAATATAGGTTTTTGCAAAATTACGAAAAATGCACTAAACATACAACAAAAGTGTAAATGTATGAAAGATAGCATGTAAACTTATCTTTCAAACAAAAAAAAAGTTCATTGCGATCCGATACATGGTATGTAAAATATAGTTATTTTTAATATAGCCCTTTCCGCCATTTTGATGACGTCATAACCGGAAACTGCAGTGGGTGCAGAAGTGACACCCGAGTTGAAAACACTTATTTAGACACATACATCAACATTGAATGGTAAAACTGTCTATATAAGACTTGTGCACTGCCCTAGATGCCGGACTAATAGGCGTTTTTGCGCCAAAATAGGTGTTTTTATGAGATTTATCTAGTTTCCTGACGTAATATTTTGAGTAAAACATATCGAATTTGGTATTTATGTAAAGCTTTTTAAATGTTCTACAACTAAAAATACAGATTTTTGCAAAATTACGAAAAATTTCCTAAACATACAACAAATATGTAAATGTAAAACAGATAGCATGTAAACTTATCTTTCAAATAAAAAAAAGTTCATTCCGATCCGACAAATAGTTTGCGAAATATACGCTTTTTAAAAATCAATGGCCGCCATTTTGATTACGTCATAGCCGGAAAACGTGGGGGGTAGGAGGTAAACACCCAGGTTTTTTAAACTCCCTAGACATCAAACTAAAACGTTATGCAAGAATATTGAGTATACGCAAGTTTGCACACTAAAGTATAGCTAGCTGCAGGACTATATCACTTTAGACCAACATATAGAAAAGGAAGTATGGAGGCTTAGTGTAGAAGGTTAGTAAATTACTTCTTATTTCAATATTTTAGGCTGTTTACCTATATATCTAAGTGATTTGGACAGAGTAAAGATGAGAAAACATAACCCAGGTCAGAAATTAGCTTAAATATGAACCTTGATTTTTTTATAAACTAAACAATTTGAGTGTGACAAAAATGACACATTGCCAAAGAACCAGCATTGCCTAATTGCCTAATATCTGATTAGGCCTAGGCCCTGTAAACTTATCTCTCGCAATTCTTTACCATATAGAGCCTTTAGCAAAATAATTACCAGGGCTGTACCCAGACCATGATTTAAGAAGTAAGTTAGGTGTAACTTAGTCATGGCGTGGCTGGTCCTGTTTTATAAGAAAATATCCCTTCTTTATTTATTTAAAACTGGTTATTGAACGTAGGAAGAAGAAATAAATCAATAAGTCATCATGAGTGCCGGTAGGTTTAACCATTGACTATATAAATTAAAGGTTCTTAATTTTATTCTCATTTAATCTAGCCTATACTGAATCTAGACTAACCTATGGGTATCTAACAACATTAGGATTGTACTTACCTTTATCAATGAGAGCGGCAATTCATGGTAGTATATTGTAAAAATGTATATTGATTTTGGTAGGTGTATGGCTATGGCCATACACCTACCCCTAGTGTAACTTAACTTAGTTACTGAAATTATTAAAGGTAGGTAGCCTAGGGCCTACTGTTTTCATATCCTTAACCCACATAGGCTTAACTTAGGCCTAGACCTGCCAGCTAAACTATTTCCACTGTCGATTCTAAAAATCACAGCTGTAACATAACCCTCCGAGTGTTATTTGTCGCTGCAGCGACTCACAAACACTGTTTACGGCGACGGCTCTATGACTGACAAAATCTGATTTAACTGGATCGAGTTAGGTATCGTTTTATTTGACAGATTCAGAGCTTTCTCCGGAGGACTGTCTCTAAACGCTTTTCATTTTAGTTCCGAAAATATTGTAGCAGACAGCTGACGTGCGTATTTGTAAACAGCTTGGTTAACCTCGGACCGATGACTGATGTGTTTTATTACCTTTATCATTGTTTTAGTGTTAAAAATCTAAAGTAGTGATATACGTGGTGCATTATAAGAAGATTTAAGTGATTTTGAAGGGCTGGTTGATGATCCTGAAGAAGTAGGTAGTGATATTGATGTAAATTATCAGCCAGATTCCTAGCTATGGTTAGGCTATGCATTCTTAGCTAAACGCTATGTACTGAAATCTGGTTTTCACTCATAACTTATTTTTTTGATAACTTACCTCACTATATGATTATATATTTCTAATCCTCATAAAATTTAGAACAAAGTGGCTATTTTCAAATATTTATAGGCCTATAATTTATACAATTTCATTGAGCGCGAACTTATTTTTTTTTTTTGAAAATTTTCCAAAATATTTTTTTTACCTAAAAAAATTTTTTTTGAACAAATGTTCCTTATGTTTTATATAATATTGAAGCCCATGATTTTACAAACAAAATGGTATAGGCCTATAGAACAGTATAATTAACATTGTTTTTAAGCTTCTCAGATCCGTTTTAATTAAACCTTGCAAATGAGCAAAACATAGGCAGACATTAAGGCCAAAACAAGGGACACTCGGAGGGTTAAGGCGGGTAAGTTACACTTCCATATCTGTTATCACAAACAACCGAATGAAAATATTGATCGATATAGACCTATTGATTATTCGATTTATTGTTTGGTTAGGTAGGTAGGCCTAAGGTTAATCAATATTACTCATTCGGTTGTTTGTGCCAACAGATATTTAAGTGTACCCCTTAAGGCTTGTAATTAAGAACTTTTTAACTTATGAAGTACGTACATGTTTGGTCTAGGCCCCAGCCGGAGATTCACTTTTTAATTAGGCTTACTTAAGTTAGCCTATGTAACTTCAGGGTAACTTAAAAAGTATGGTACAGTCTCTTAGTTGGGCTATGCGTAATCAATTGAAACCAAGTATCAAATTGAAAATATTGATTAATAATAAATTTTTTAGACTATGCCTAACCGGTATACTTACTTATTCAAGTAGGTAACTTGATTAACTTATAAAATAAAACTGTCATATCTTACCCTAACCTTGCTAACCAAACTTGCTTATAGGCAGAATGAAAAAATCAAATGAAAGTTTACCAACCAAATCGATAACTTAGTTCCAATTGATATTAGCCCAGTTAAGAAACTGTAATCACTCCCTTAGGAAGTATGCTTATTCTAGCCACAAACAAACTTAGCTATAAACAAACTTTGTGGCTAACTTACCTACAGAGAGGCCTACTTAACTTATTGGTTTCATTAAGTAAATGATAGCGATTTACATGGTGAAGTTAACTTTAAAATTTAAAAAAAACTTTAACAAGGCTGTCTAGGCTAACTTAGTTAAAGTTTTATTTGTACGGTAGGTTATTTTATTCACAAAGGATACACGTCCGGTAACCGAACGTGGATTAGGCGTCCGACAGTGATGTCACATGGTTGTGGGTGCCTGGAACACCATTACCACAACGATACGAAGAAAAGCGTCACGGTGTTATGAATAGAGTACTCGGCTGATGTACTGTTCAAAACATATTTTGGAAATATATATAGAGAATGCTAGTCCGATTAATTTCAATTGTGCCTAACTCCTCTATGTCTTTTAGGAGCAGGTTTGAAGCAGTTCACCGAAACAGAAAAAGCTCTGGAGAATGTGATTAAGGACTGGCTGAGGCCGTCAAAGAACCGTCTGCTCAGCAAGCAGAAGTCAAGGTAGCCTATTACTACACATAATGCAGCTTAGGCCTAGCAATAATCTTATAAAGAATAGCAAAATGATTTATTGAGGAGAACAGGTCAAGTCCTGAATATTCTTATCACAAGTATCATTGTCTTCACAGCAATGAAGAATACAAAAAAAAAACATTTATGATAACCTACTTATTTTAGTATGAGAAACTAAGTAAATAATCCATTAACTTGAATGATATTCCATTATTATTAATTCTAACAATGTACCTTCTAACCAGTTTTTGTAATTTACCAGCCATACAAATATTTGATTTCACCCTTCACTATTGTGTCTACACTACTAAGTATTCATACAATTTTATAACTTACTAGCTGTGTGCCCGTTCTACGCACGGGGATCTTATAGTAGTCAGTTTAAACCTTCTTATATTAAGAACAGCAGTTGAAGTGCTATAGACGATTTAGATTGGTAATTTATAATACAAATTACCAAAATAGGCCACGAAATATTGATACATAAACAACGTAAATCGTAAACAATTCGTGGCAGTTCATGATGAACTCATTCATTTCATTTTTTTAAATTGCTGAACTAATGTTTTACTAAAATGAGTCGTCATTTTCTTAGCATAAACTAACATTTTAGAATCCAGACAGAGAAAACAAAACTTATACAGTTAAGACATCAATTAAATTGAATACGGCTGTAATACGACTGTATAATTAAGGTGCAACACCAACGATAACTAATTTGTAAATTACAGTGATGTGTTGGTACGTAAAAATTATTCTTGCTGCTACCAACAGTTCTAAGGAAAAGAACCAGTACCAAAAACCAACGTTTACAGTTAAGAAGTACATCTGACCAATTAAATGCGTTAATCAAGTCCCAAGGTTTTGGATTTCCTCGTAAAAAGAAGTTATTTCTCAATCAAAGCTATTTCCCATTAATTGCTATATTTGTAAAGAACTTTTAATGTAAAATTATTCTGAGCAATGTACAGACAAAACTCTAATTTTATTTATATAGAGATATAAACTTGATAAACCCAATGAAACACATCAAAAGACAATATTTGTGTTAAGTCTTCAGATCACAAGGAAGGGAAATGAAAGTGAAAAGGAAATACTTAATGACAAGGAATGTGATCTTTTGGCAAATTTCCCATATAGGGAATAAGCTATTACCGTAGGTCTCATGGTAATACCTGGACCCGGGGCCGATTTACTTTTTTGTTATGAGGTCCCCAGAGGCCAAAAACACCATCCGTTCAAATATATATATATGTGTACATTAGCATGATAACTCGAAAAAAAAATCCAATTTTGATGAAATTTGGTATAAACCTACATTTATTCGAACGAGTTCGCGAACCAGCATGATCAGACCATGGGAACGGGGGTTTATGGGGTAAAAATGAATTTTTCTCATTTTTGACCCTAAAAAAATAATTTATTCATGTTGAAGCCTTCCGGAATTGGTAATCAATTATAACAGGTTACGTACCTTGACGTCCACAATCCCTTAGTCGGTGTCTGTTGACTATAGTTTCGACTACTACATAGTCTTTATCAAAAACAGAACGTTAAAATAATTACATTCGCTGAATGATGTCAATTCTTAAATATATCGAACACACAAACAAACATAACACGAACACGGTAGACATTTAACATAATTGGCCGGCCGGCACACGTCACTGAACTGGTCGACGACGACTGACTATTTACCCCACTCGAGTCCTGGAGGCACAGCTGATAAACGAAATGGAGTGGGGTAAATAGTCAGTCGTCGTCGACCAGTTCAGTGACGTGTGCCGGCCGGCCAATTATGTTAAATGTCTACCGTGTTCGTGTTATGTTTGTTTGTGTGTTCGATATACAGGGTGGAACGAAGTTAGTGTTAAAAAAATTTATGTGTTAAACTACTAAGTATTGGTGACAAAATGGCACCAATTTAAGTTTCCATACCCTCACAGGTAGGGAATAACAGACAATTTAAGATTTTTTCAAAATATTTGTACTTACTTACATAAAATGGCAATAAGTGCATCAAACATTGTTTTTATTCCAAATTCATTGTCATTTTCAGAATCCTCGTTAAATTTCCAATAGTAATAGTACAAATTCATTGAGATTAAACATCTGCATAAGCCCTTATTTGGCCACGGAAGTTTGAATTTGTGATTTTTTTTAAAAAAGTAATAACTTTTTCCAAAGTTTTTCTATACTACACTGGACTGTAGAGAGTGTCAAATATTACTAAAAACTTTTTCAGTTAATAACCTTTAAAATGATGTATAAACATCTACTGTTCCTTTGATTTGTCGTTCTCAAATTTAAGAGTTTCACACGAAAAACACGGAACGGCTAATGTTTAATTTCCTTTAAAAAAAACATGTATTGGCTTTAATGATATGGCAACAGCTGCTTTAAAAATCATGTTTAAATGGGTATTATTGCAATTTTCAGAATCCTTGTAAAATTCTAATAAGAATATTGAGGAATTGTTAGGATTAACACTTTATGAACCTATGGTTTGTGATGAATTTTCATTTAGGGGATTTTCTTCTTATTTATTGGAATAAATTTAATATCGTTTACTGTGTTAGTTCTATGGCACATTCAACCGATGTGCGAGATTGACAATTTGCAAAATACACAATTTGAATGATAAGAATGATAATGATGGGTCATATGGTGTGGTTTGCTGGCATGCCAGGTCGCCAGACCTAAGTCCACTGGACTTGCTTTGTGTGTTATTTGGAGTACTTGGTCTACTCATCTTTAGTGGAAGATAATTAGGAAATTAACTACTGGATAATGAATGCAGATGTGCTAGTCAGGGGAACGTTGTATTTTAATGCTACTATTGGTGCCACGTGCAAAAAAGCTTGGCTGTGTATCTGGGAAAATGGAGGAGATTTTGACAAAAAAAAACTCAAGTAGTTGGCATCAAATAGAAGGCAACTATTAAAACGTCAAGGAAGTAAGGAACAGTTATTTAAGTTTAGAATATTGTGTGTTTTAGAATTAACTTTTAGTTTTTGTATAAATAACTAAAACTAAGTATTTTTGAGGTGTTAACAATTATTTTAGTTAAGAAATATATCACTTGACTGAGTTATTTCCATTAGCCAGCACAATTGATGTGGTATTGGATTGATGTGTCTTAGCACTACAATCAATTAATTGGTATACTATTCATAGGTTAATTTTCGGTTTTTGGTGAACATATTGACAACATTGTAAAGTGTAGTATCTACATAATTTTATAGGCTACTCCATTGGAAGTATTTGCTTATGCTTAAAAAAAATTCTTAAGTTAAATGTACCATGTGTAACTTTAAACAATATTCAATGTATTCAAAAAAATACAAATAAAACTAATTTAACAAGTTTTTACGAAACATACGTTTATATGCATGTTTATCCTAATAGATCTTTAATATTCTTACAATAAATCTCACAAGGATTCCAAAACATACAATAGACCTTATTCAAATATAACTGTTATTGCAGCTATTGCCATATTATTTAAGCAAATACATGTTATTTTAAAGGAAATTAAACATTAGCCGTTCCGTGTTTTTCGTGTGAAACTCTTAAATTTGAGAACGACAAATCAAAGGAACAGTAGATGTTTATACATCATTTTAAAGGTTATTAACTGCAAAAGTTTTTAGTAATATTTGACACTCTCTACAGTCCAGTGTAGTATAGAAAAAACTTTGGAAAAAGTTATTACTTTTTTATAAAAAATCACAAATTCAAACTTCAGTGGCCAAATAAGGGCTTATGCAGATGTTTAATCTCAATGAATTTGTACTATTACTATTGGAAATTTAACGAGGATTCTGAAAATGACAATGAATTTGGAATAAAAACAATGTTTGATGCACTTATGGCCATTTTATGTAAGTAAGTACAAATATTTTGAAAAATCTTAAATTGTCTGTTATTCCCTACCTGTGAGGGTATGGGAACTTAAATTGGTGCCATTTTGTCACCAATACTTAGTAGTTTAACACATAAAATTTTTTAACACTAACTTCGTTCCACCCTGTATTTAAGATTTGACGACATTCAACGAATGTAATTATTTTAACGTTCTGCTTTCGATAATGACTACGTAGTAGTCGAAACTATAGTCAACAGACACCGACTAAGGAATTGTGGACGTCAAGGTACGTAACCTGTTATAAAAACATAACATTTTGGAATTTCTTTCCCAACCATTTTTTAGAGCTTAAAAAAAGAAATAATTTAGTATATTGAAGAATTGTTGTATGCCTAATGGTTACGGAAAAAATTCAAAAAAGTGCAAATTTATAATTCCCATGTTATTCTTATGGAGAAAATGAAAATTGTTGTAGTTTACTTTTTTATGGATATAATATTGATCTAATTTGGCAAATCTATTTACAGTATTTCAGATACTGTTGACTTTAGGTCAAAAAACACTGTTAACCTTCCCCGTAGCAGCAAACCTAAGCACTCGTTAAATCTAATGCTATTTAAATTGGGAATAAATATGTCTTAATTATGGAAATATTTTAGTAAATATATAATTAGACAAGTTGAAATTCGCTTAGTCTGCAGGTTTGCTGCAGCAGGGGTATTTTATTTATTGATGTTATAAAGTTTGGTATTGCATTAATATTGTTTTATTATTTCCAGGAAAAACCGAGGCGAGGAAGAGCCTCAAATCCCTGTTAGGGAGGAGGGTGATGAAGACAGTAACAATTAAGGATCTCAACTACTGTGTTATTTCATCATTATTTCAATTATTTTAATATACTTTTTTCAAACATGAATGTGCATTTTAATTTTTGAATTTAACCTCTATTACTTTTTGTTGTTTCATTAATTAATATACAATCAACAAAAGATTTATAAGACAATATGGTGATTATTAACTTACATTTTTAACAAAATTAAACCAAAGTAAGGAAAAGTATTACTATAACATGCTTTTAATGATTAAAAGTAGAAGAGTGAAAATTATTTACAGTTACAGAATAAAATGTGATTCTTGGATTCCTAATCATGATATCTCCATAACACGATTTGGCATTAGGCTACCCTTTAACTTTCAGGTGTATCTTTTTCTAAATAACAAGTTTTTTTTAATTTAAACAATATTAAAAAGGTAAAAATTTGGTAAAAAAAAAATTTCATTTTTACGTTAAAAAATGTGAAAATCGCACAGTTTATCACATTAATTTCACGTGAATAAAACATTTTAAAACGTGAAAAAGTGAAAATATAGTAACAAAATTCACGTCTTTTTTTTGTGATTTTTCACGTTATTATCACGTGAAAAAGTGTGACATTTGCATGTTTTTTTCACGTGAAATTGTCGTGAAAAGACCTACTCTTTCACGTGAATTTCACGTGCATAATGTAAAAAGGTAACGAAAATTTCACGTGAATTTCTCGTTTTTGTGCTATCTGGGATGTACCTCTTCTTTTGACTTCTGTTCTACGGGATCAGTAATACCAAGTGTCTCTAATTTCCAGAACATCGAAATATCCTCAGAAGGATCACTAAAAGAAAACATACTAACACATGATGTATTGCATTCTGTCTTACTATTATCAGTTTCCACAACACTAGATAAGCGACCCATTAATGTCCAGCCTAGAAAGGTTTCCATTGCGACAAGTCCACTATTCAGCTGAACTTTGTTACCTGTGAACAACTTACCAGCAACATCTGCACCAATTAATACTTCAATTTTTGCATCTGATTCAGCCACATCCGAAAGAACAATGTTAGCAGCTTCTATTTCCTCAAGTTCTGGACCTCTCCTGATACTAGGGATATTTTCACTTATAAGAGGTTGATCCAAAACCTTGAACCTACATTTATAGTCATTATTCAGATTGGCAAGAACAATTTTAAACATGTTATGTGTAACAACATCCGTCTTAACACCACCAAAAAGTGAATGAGTTAAACTCTCTTGCCCCTCGGCATACATTCCAATTTCAGATGCTGTTGACTCAAGAATATAAGATCTCATCGAACCTGTATCAATTAAGGCTCTAACAGGACAAATCAAACCTTCATGGATCAGATTGACCCTCAATGTCTGCAGATAAATCTGTGATTTTGTTTGTTGTCCTAAGTTAGATAGATCTTTGACCTCATTACCGATACTCCTGTTTGATTTTTCTTGCAATCCTTGTTCCTTATTACACATCAAAGTAGGGTGTTTGCGGTAACAAATACTACATTTTAAAGGACGTCTACAAAATTTAGATGTATGTCCCTGAAATAGACATGTAAAACAAGCTTTTTTATCCAAAACAATTTGTCTTTTTTTACTGATCCATTTTCTTTGCCTGAAGACAATCTGCACTTTTGCGAGCTTCTGAGCAGAATATACAATTTAACTCTTTTGACCTGTTAGTCAAGCAAGATGCTGAAGGCATATTGTTTGAAGTTTTATCAATATTACTTCTAGGGCTTACCCTCTTACTCGTACCGTAACCAGTCTTAGCCAAAACAATTCTTTCTTCACCTTCAACTTCTGATTTGATGAACTGCCGCAATCTCTTCAATGTCTGCTCTTCTGATTCTGATGATTCTTTATTTTCTCCATCTGAAGACAAACTGCATCTCTGCCAAGCTCTAAGAAGATCATCTGGTAAGCAGGACTCTACTAAAGGCAACAAAACACAAGCACATTTATCTGTTGTTACCTCTAAGCTTTCCAATGCTCGTAGTTGACATTCTAATTTGTCGTAAAACTGCATCAGAGACAAACTATGTTCTGTGTTTTTCAGTACCAAAGCTAGCAGCTCCCTAACATATACTTTTACTAGAAGTCCGTCCCGCCCAAATCTACCTTTAAGTTCCTCTAGAGCCTTAGGATAATTATCTGCTGTTGGTGGAAAACTCTTTACTACTTCATATGCTCTAGACCTAGGAATCATACTTTGTAACAAGTATTGGAACTTTTCTGCAGCATTTAAGGTTGGTTCCCTATCTATTGTTTGAAAAAGACTCCAGAAATGTAGCCAGTCCTTCGGATCTCCACCAAATTTGATCAATTCAACTTTTGGAAGTCTCACTTTGCTTTGCTTAGGTACTAAAGTACTGTTGTTACTTACAGAATCGCTGAGAGAACGAGCTTCATCTTCTAGTCTGTTACTTACTCTCAACTTGTATTTGATTGATTCAAAAGTCTCCTTATATTCATCCTGTTTTGCAAGTTCGGCTTCAATTTCTTCATCAGTACTTTCTTCAAGCATTAAATTGAATACTTCTTTATCAATTTCATGTAACTCATTATACCTTTGTTCTATTACGCCATAAAGAGCATTAGCTCTATCAAATTCATCTTGACAAACTTCATTAAACTTCGATACTGTTCTACTAAATGTACTTCTCAAAACTTTCCTTCTTTTTAACAAGGCATCCATAGTTCAAATAAAATCTATACTTTTCCAACAAATAAATTACTTCCACCAATGCCCCACGTTGGGCGCCACAATGATACGAATAAACTGACAAAAAATGTGAGTACTCATTGTTTTTTGTCAGTCTATTCGTAATATTGTGGCGCCCAACGTGGGGCGCCACAATATTACGAATAGACTGACAAAAAACAATGAGTACTCAGTGAAAGTAGTGACAATAATTTATTTGAACCATTTTACTAACATCTTCTTTATAAGCCAACATAAAACTCAACTCTTTTGTTTACATTCTCTCCTTTAAATTAATAACATGTGTTTTAATTATTAGTAAGCATACAATATTAACATTGACAACAACTGGCAATTTGAAACCGAAACGGCACACGGAAGATTTCTCAGGTGCCGTTTGACGTCACTAACTGCTGACGTCACTTTGAGGGAACACCATTACCGCAACGATACGGCTTTGAACCATCGGCCTCGGTGGTATAATGGATAGCGAGTCGGGCTGATAATTCGAGTGTACCGGGTTCGAATCCCGCTGGTAGCATTAACTTTTTGTCAACGATTTTTTAATATCAGCAAGTTTGGTTAGGTTATGACAGTTTAATTTTATAATTATAAAATTATAAAATTGAATTTTAGGCATTTATAATTTTATTTTATGAACAAAACAATTTTTTAGATTAGTAAACCTTCATTCGATTTTTCCATTATCAGCACGTTTGGTTGGTTTGGTTAGGTTATGAAAGTTTAATCTATTAATAAGAAATTATAAAATTGTCTGTTTCCTCAGACGCAGCAGTTAGTGGCGTAAGCAGTTAGTGACATCAAACGGCACCTGAGAAATCTTCCGTGTGCCCCACCGATTTGAAACCAGTAAGTTAAACCATTGAATATAGGTTAAACCAACACAGCATATATAACAATATTGGTGTATGGTGTATATATAATAATAATTTGTTCTCTTATCTACTTAAAACATGTAAGAAAGGGTTTCTGATTTAAATATAGGCTATAGTAGTAGGACGTCCGAAATATTTTGTAATTTAGGTATATACTTGCTATTATATTATAATTGTTGTATTCTGAAGCAAGTCATAAGCTTAGGGGTTTGGAAATATTTTTGAGTAACAAAATACTTTGTAACTTTTATGAGCAATGAAATTCAACTCCTAACCCAACCCTCTCACCTACTGAGTGCAGAGCTGAAGTATAAATAAAATTTTGGAAGGTAACATCAACATCCATGTCCCAAGTTCCATGTTCCATGTCCCATTATCCATGTTCCATGTTCCAAGTTCCATGCTCCATGTTCCATGCTCCATGTTCCATGTTCAATGTTCCATGTTCCATGTTCCATGTTAAATGTTCCATGTTCCATATTCTAGTTCCATGTTTCATGTTTTATGTTCCATGTTCAATTTTCCACGTTCCACGTTGTTTTTGTGTTTTAGTGTTTTTTTGTTTTATGTTTATGGTTTATGTTTTGTGTTTTGTGTCCTGTGTTCCATGTTTCATGCTCCATGTTCCATGCTCTATGTTCCATGTTCTATGTTCCATGTTCCATGTATACTCGTAAGGTCCAATAAAAAGTATAAATTTGATAATTTATACTACAGAACAATATAACTTCAATAGGATTTAGCCAATGTTGAAAAGAAGACATTTCATTTTCAAGTGCACCACTGACATTTTATTAATAAAAGCAATGAATTCACAATAAATCTATACTTTTCATTTAGTTAAGTTATACCTCTGTATCTCAGTCCTTAATAATTATTGAATTGAAACAATCTTACATTAAGATGGCATGGTGCCCTTCTGTAGATCTCTATTTTAAAACAGGAACTCGTCTGTAAAAGAAATATACAAATGCATAAAATATTACTAATATAACTATTCTAAATATAAATTTCAATTACCATTTTCTTTCGTACAATGTGCTTTTTGCAAGTTAACATACTTATAACCTAATTTAACATATTTTAGAATTTGAAGTTAACCAACAGTGAATAGTATTTTCCCATATCCATGTTCAATAGTATTTTTAATACAAATTTTAATTTCAGATTTAACTTTCCTAGATTATAAAGGATAATAATATTTTGTACTTACAATGCCTACTAGATTTGCCTGCCATGAGATACAGAATTTTGAATGAAATCAAACATTGTGAGGGAAATGAAAAAAGAAACAATGTTACCACAACAAACAATTAAAATAAACCAAATTATGCCTCTTACATACTATAACTAAATTTGCTGGATTTTTTTTAACAAACAATACAAGAATTAGTATTGTTGTATTATAAGTCTGTTCTTTTTATCATGTGTTTAAATATGTTTGTTGTCAGATGATTTTTGTAAACATGTTTTTGTAAACATTGGTTTAGTTTGGAAATAGAGTTTGTTGAAGCAAGATGTGTGAATAATATTCTTGTATAAGAAATAGAACATGGTGGCAGCTTAGTGGATTTTTTATCGAACAAAGTCTAAAACCACGCATGATGTCAAGTAAGGGCAGAAAAAAAACGAAATACTCGTAGGCAAAGGTATGAGGACAACGAGGAGGACGATGCCCAAAGTGAATTCAACTACATGTCAGAAAGGGATTCTAGAAAGACTGAAGGTGAGTCACTAGGTTTTGCATTGGGACAGACAAACCGAGAAAATAATGCAGTAATGTGTACTCCTACTCCTATGATAAATCTGACGTTACCAACTCCAGAAACCTTCTCTTTTACTCCGAATGAGTGGCATTCCTGGAGGAATCGCTTTCAAAGGTACAGACGGGGGTGCGGTCTAGATAGCACTTCCGACGCTCGGCAAATCGATGTACTTTTGTTTACAATGGGTAGTAGGAGTGAAGATATTTTCGATTCGTTTTCACCAAAACCGAATACTTATGACGAGGCTCTTCGGGCCTTTGATGCATACTTTGTGCCAAGACGAAATATCATTTATGAGAGAACAAAATTTCTGAGACACAAGCAAGGGAGTGATCCATCTGAAAAATTCATAACAGATTTGCATGGTCTTGCAAAATTATGTGCATGGGGTGAACTGAACGATGAGATGGTGCTTCTGGTCCTCATTATTGGTATGAAAGATGAGGCTCTAAGTGATAGACTCCAGCTGGACTCTCAATTGACTCTGGAGAAGGTGATTAATACCTTGCGCCAACACGAGGAGCTAGAACGCCAAAAACGTGAGCTCGCCAATACTAATGTTTTTATGGTGAATAAAACGTCAATACAAGTCGGTAAAACAAATCTGTCTGAAAGAGCTGGTGAACAGAAATTCACCGAGAATGCTATGAGAAAAAAGTGCAGGAAATGTGGTTATAACTGGCACGGATCACTGGCCGAATGCCCTGCTAGGAAAGCCAAATGTGACAAATGTTTCGAGATTGGACATTTTTTTCGATGTTGTCCCTCCCGCGAAAAGTGGATGAGAAAAAACAAAAACGTTGTTAAGGAAATCGAACAGCAAGATTCAGACAGTGGTTATCAACAGGTTCCTGAGATTTTCATAGGGAATATAGACAGCAGTGACAAAGCCTGGGTCCAGGAGGTAAAAGCAAGCTGTGGAAGCCAAGATTTAGGTCTTATAAAATTTAAACTTGACACAGCAGCTGATGTAACCATGATTCCAGTAGGAGTTGTCAGTGATTTTATTAAGACTCTGCCTCTAGGAAAGTGCAAATCCCTGTGTTTAGCGCAAAGAAGAAAGAACGAATCAATATTTTGGGAACTTTAAGGCTAAAGCTTGAACATAAGGGTGTATCAGTTTATGATCTTGCGTATATTTCTGAGGAGATCACTGTTCCACTTCTTAGCAGACGTTCCTGTGAAGAGCTGAACCTGGTGAGGAGAATTTTTTCTGTAGATTCACATGATATTGACTGGGCTACTAAGTATCCTAATTTATTTCAAGGGTTGGGAAATATGAAAGGAGAGTACAAGATTGAAATGAAGGAGAATGCAGTTCCTTACGCTATATCCACTCCCAGGGTTGTACCAATACCTTTAAAAACCAAGGTGAAAGAGCAGTTAGACGATATGCTTGAGAAAGGAGTGATTGTTCCAGTTGAACACGCGACTGATTGGTGCGCACCAATGGTAGTTTGCGCAAAAAAGGGAGGTGGGGTTAGGATCTGGGTAGACCTATCCAAACTCAACAACAGTGTGAAACGTCGGTTTTATCCTATCCCAAAGATCGAACTTTCATTGGCCGAGATCGCGGGAGCCAAGTACTTCAGCAAGATCGATGCGAATTCCGGGTTCTGGCAACTGAACCTTGCAGAGGAGTCACAAGATTACACAACATTTATCACCCCTTTTGGGAGGTATAAATTCCGTAAGTTACCTTTTGGAATTACGTCCGCTCCTGAAGAGTTTCAGCGCCGCATGTCAAAAGCTTTAGAAGGGGCAAAGAACTGTTTAGTGCACATTGACGACTGTCTGATATGGGGAAGAACGAAAGAAGAACACGACGAGTGTCTTAGGGCCGTTCTAGAGAGAGTGCAAGCTAATGGAATCACCTTGAATAAGCAGAAGTCGGAGTTCTGCAAGAAGACTGTGACATTTTTGGGGTTTGTGCTGTCTAAGGACGGAATCAAGCCTGATCCAAGCAAGGTACAAGCGATTGTGGACTTACCAGCTCAAGAAAACGCTTTTGTCACAGTAAAACAGATTTTATCATCAGAGCCATGTTTGACTGTTTACGATCCGCAAAAACCCTCGATTCTTTCTTGTGATGCTTCAAAAAAAGGTCTTGGAGCGGTTTTACTTCAAGTTGAAGGAGAAAACAAGAAACCTGTGGCATATATATCCCGGACTCTAACGCCTGCTGAAGAAAACTACAGTAACATTGAGAGAGAAGCGCTTGCGTGTACATGGGCAAGTGACCGTTTGAAATGTTTCCTGATGGGTAAAATGTACACAATTGAGACCGACCACAAACCGCTTGTCTCAATTTTCAAAACACAAAATTTGGACGAGCTCTCACCGAGGCTACAGCGGTTCCGAATGCGTATGATGAGATACGATTATCGCATGACCTGGACCCCAGGAAAAGACCTTGCCATAGCAGATCTACTATCAAGAAGTCCTATTCCGGCTGACGAAGATGGCGAATTGACCGAAGAAGTGGAAGCCTTCGTCCACGAAATCAGTCTGATTAGTATAAACACTACAGATGAAAATGTGACAAAGGTACTTCACTCACAAATGAGAGATCCAATCTGTGCACAACTTAAGTTACAAATTTTAGACGAATGGCCTGTAAAATCAAGTTTACCTAATGAGATTCAAGAGTACTTTAATGTGAAAGACGAGTTAAGTTGTATTGATGGGCTATTGCTTCGAGGAACTCGGATGATAATACCTCAGGAACTACGAGCGGAAATGCTCGAGAGGCTTCACAGTGGACACTTGGGAATCACAAAAACAAGGAAACGTGCTTTGGGAACCATGTGGTGGCCTGGAATTTCTCAAGAAATAGAAAGGAAAATCAAATCGTGTCCAGTGTGTATTCAGAACTCAACTAATCACAGTGAACCATTGATTCCGAGAACTGTCCCGGATTACCCGTGGCAAAATGTGTCTGTTGACTTGTTCAAACACGAAGACAAGTGGTATATGGTTATCGTGGATCACTACTCAAGATACTTTGAAGTCGAGGAAATGCACCGAATGAGGGCTTCAGATGTGATTCGGATTTGCAAAACCACATTTTCACGTTTTGGAATTCCTCAACGTGTTTATTCAGATAGTGGGACACAATTTCACCATATTGACTCAAGTGAATTTAAATTGTTTGCAAATGAGTGGGGGTTCTCCACATTCAGAAGTAGTCCCCACCACCATCAGGGAAATGGGGCAGCTGAAGCAGCTGTGAAAGTAGCAAAAGGGCTAATGAAGAAAAACAAGGATAAATTTGAACTAGCCCTACTTTCTTACCGGACCTCACCTCTTGAAACCGGCTTTTCCCCATCTGAACTTATGTTTGGAAGGAAATTAAGAGACAATCTTCCATCTACTTTGGTTGGAAATCCTGTGGAAAACAAGAATTTTCTTGAGAGGGAGAATAAGTACCAGAATAAGTACAAGATACAATTTGATAAACGACATGGAGCGAGTGGTTTAAGTGAATTAGAAGTTGGAAGCATGGTATGGATCACAGATCTACGTCGACACGGTAAGGTAGTCAGGAAATTGAACGAACCACGTTCCTACCTTGTGGAAACTGACAAGAGAACTATTCGCCGAAACAGGAAGTTCTTAGTTCCTGCACCGTACTACGGAGGAGATGGAATTCTTTCAAACTGGTCATCCATGGTCCTTAATCGTCCATGCAACTCACGTGATCGTCCAGGAGCTGGCACAGTAACCCGTTACGGAAGGTCCATTAAGAAACCGAGGCGGTACTGAGGTTCATAAAGATGTGGACATCTTGAAGCGGGATGTTGTATTATAAGTCTGTTCTTTTTATCATGTGTTTAAATATGTTTGTTGTCAGATGATTTTATTAAGACTCTGCCTCTAGGAAAGTGCAAATCCCCTGTGTTTAGCGCAAAGAAGAAAGAACGAATCAATATTTTGGGAACTTTAAGGCTAAAGCTTAAAGGGACCTTTGTGAGTAAATTTATTCCAAAACGTCCTACAAGTTTTAACACAAAGACTTTTTTAGGGAATCAAAACCAATAAAATCCGGGGTCTTTGATGATTCTCACAAATTCTTATTCTGTAATATACGTAGCCTTGATAACAAATCTGATGAACTTCCATGACCATGGAAGATATTCAGGATTTCGCCGAGACTTCGAAATATGTTCTCGATTTGACCATGATCTTGGAAGATGTTCAAATATTTACTGTGATAGCAGATTTTCTCAATCTTACATAAATTTGATAGAATAGACTTCCCATGTAATGTTAAAATTTGAAGCCAAGAAAAGAGATTAAGTTCAGGACCATCCCACCATAGGGTACTAGTGTATTGGGTTAAGTTAAGTATTAATTTAATTCAATGCAGTATCATTAGCAAACGGCTGATCGATTTATCACTTGACACAGAATATTATCATCAGTTTATAGACCATCTCAACAGATTGCACCACTTTTTTGCTTCAAATTTTTCCATTACTTGGGAAGTCTATTCTGTGTATAGTCAATGAAATAAATAAAACCACTGTTACAATTGTGTAATAGAAATTTATAACATTTTAATTTTTACATATTACAGTAAACATAGCTTTAGATATACAAAAGATCGTATAGTCACTTACAAAGTGGAAAACAGCTTTAAAAAACAAAGGAAACACTTTGAAGGTGAACAATATCTCAACTAATTATGAGTACAGTATAAAATAAAATTATAGAACTATTTTCAACTGAATTTATTTTACTTTTTGAACTAGTAATTAATATATATATATTTCAACCATTGTTTATTATGCAGCTTATAAAATTACACGCAGGTCTTTGTTAAGATAATGAATTAAATCACTGTAGTAACTTGGTTTGATTAGCATTTTGCTGTTCTATGTTATTTAGCTGAATACTTGAGGGCTTTCATTCTGAAGTACTCTTTCCGTAGCATCCAAACAATTATTGCAATCATTATATGTGTACCTGAAAAAATATCAATTAATAAAACTAAAATTAACAGTGTCCTCTTAGCAACTATTTATCACTTGAGTTATGTACCGAATCCAAAATGTGTTTTTCCTACCAGTGCATGAAAATGATCACATTGCCATACCTGCAAACAGCAAGCAAAAATAAGCTGATTTCACAGTTTTCGTTTCTACACCAACCACACCATGGATTGATAGTTAGTTAATTCAATTCAATTCAATTCAAATATCTTTATTAGTTTTTATGTACATCTATATAATTAATAGGCTACACGAAAGTTTGTCGGTTGAACTCCTCCGCCATTTCTTAACCGATTTTATCCATTGACGTCTCATTGGAAAGAGCATGTCGCGTAGATTTGCAAACTGACCTTACATTTTTGAAAAGGTCCCTTGGGCTCTGCCCCAGTGGCTTTGAAAGTTCCCATGTTATCCTTATGAAGAACATAATTGTTTACATTTTGATCAGCTGTATAATTTTATTTCTGTTATTTACTTTTTAATTCAATGAAACACATTGAGTACATTTATTTACTATTTGAGTTTGTGTAAACATAACCCCCCTTAAATTTGTGTATTCATCGTTGTTTTGTGTCGCTATGATGGATTGTGTTAGCATGATTGTAACTTAAATTTGTGCATTTATCGTTGTTTTGTGTAGCTATAACTTGTTTATTATTTGTTGTTTATTTCTTTTAAATGTCTCCGACACAACGACAACGAAACATAGACAGGAAGCGCAATCGTGATAACGACCGCAGCTACAGAACAGTGGCGCGTAAAAGGCTTAATCATCACAGTCTGAACCTGAACCTGGACAACCTCAACTATTAGGTTACAAATGCGCCCTAACACGACCCCAAAACGACTTTTCGCTCTCAATTGGCCCTCTATTAATGACCTGTGTTCCCTGGACAGCGAGGCATTTTGAGAAGGAGAGAACCGGCCGGAATGCTTTAGGTTTATCAATAACGAAGATAAACTGGGTCTGAGTTACACAACGGTAATATTTGAGTTGACTCTTTTAAACTCATTGTAAATATGACTGTTATTCAATCTGAAATAACTCCTGTAATACTTTGTAATTGCTCGAATTCGAGCAACATGTACACTAGTTGTACAATAAATAGTGTCAAAATAATTACAATAAAAATAGTGTCAAAATAGTTCAACAGGATAAAAACAGCAAAACATGAGGAATGGTTATAAAAACAACAAATACATTTTACAAATCTAGTAAGATAATTTATCATAGCGACTGAGGGAGGTGAAAAAATCGTCAAAAGAATAAATTGCTAAATTTATTAAAAACTCTTTCAATATTTTTTTAAACTTGTTTGGATCTGTTAAGAATCCGTAAGCAAATAACATAACCTAAAAAAGCAAACTTGACCTAATTGACATTTTAAATACATCTAAAAAGTTAATTTGTGTGTTATTGTAAGTTAATTATGGTGGTAGGAAAAGTCTTGCGTGTATTAAAAGCAAAAACAGTCATTGTCGCTCTAGAAATGTATGACGTGTACAGTATTGGCCATCTACAGTTCTCGAGCGGCAATGACGTACTTTGCGCTCTTGATACACAAATATTTATTTCCTATACAATAGAATTATTTTATAATCTATACAATTGTGTGATTTGTTTTAATGAGAACTTGCTTAGTTTGTTTTAAATACTTTGATTTCACCCAACTAAATATTTATAGAAAAAAAATTGAAGTAGTCCGACTTCCTATTTAATTTAATTAAATAATCATACTAATCATATAATATACTAATATTATAAACTAGGTGAAACCCGTCGAAATCGACCGTTGCTTTAAATGCTTACGCTAATTCATCAATCTGTGATAAATAGAGTGAATTTATAGAAAAATTAAGCATTTAGCATTGTTTAATGAGTAATAAACAAGTGTAAAAACAACAATGTCTATTGTGTTAGTTACAAAATATGGTTAATCATTCAATGAACAACATATTTCTTATACCTACAGTACGTAGGCTAATAGGAGTTATTGTTAACTGGTTTCTCTTCTTTTGCAGGAATATATGACGAATGCTTTTGGAGGAACCTTTAAATAGTATTAAAATTGTTTGGTGGATCTTTTGTGGTAAACACTTCCACGATTTCATCAGTGTTATGCAGATTTTTAAATTTATGCTTTTTTATGAAAAATATCTGTTTGTTGAGAGGGCATGTTCTCAATTCAAACGGAGCCCCCACCCTAAAGCGGTGTAAGTTTTATTTTTCCTTCGTCACGTCGTTCATAATACTTTTAAAATACTTGAAGTAATATTAGATAATTAGTAAAGAATAAATTATTTCAAGATGGTGTTGTAAATGAGTCTTGTATTGAGAACAATGTTTTCATAATCACAATAGTAAAAACATCAGGAATAATAAATATTTAAAATAACATATGATTGTTGAGGAATGCAAATAGAAAATATATAACAGATTCTTCCGCACTGAGGAAGTGTTCAAGGTGTGTATCGTGTCGGTTGTTTGATCTGTCTTGATTAATGTGGTCGTCGTGAAGGTGTTGGTCGATAATATACAGATGTACTTGTGTCTGGTTGATGCATGACTGGTGGATGAATGACTGGTAGACGAAAAACTGGCAGTGTTGAACGGAGGAAAAAATTTCAAGTCTGCATTTTCAATGTTTTCACTAATTTCTTTCTTTTTGGTAGAAGACTTTTTCCAGCTGTATTTTTCTGACACATGTGTCTTCTGTGGATGATTTTGATCCTTTTCTGATTTCTTCTTACTTAGGTTGATTTGCAAGTGTCGTATCCATGTTTGACCCAAAAGAGGACTGTATCCGTCAGGAACAACAAATAACTGTTCGACGGTTCATGTCCCATTGCTTTTCTTGCTGTGTGGCATTGCACTCTTACTGAAGCAATGCCCAGCGGAAAAAGTAGCTCCCCTGTGTAAGAGCTAAATTTGACAGATGTTGGTATTATAGTGTCCATTGAAATGTTTAAACGCTTTAAGTCTCCTCTAGGAAGTAGAGTGTAAGCGCAACCTGAATCAACCTCGAACTTTTGTTGCCGGTCATTAATACCGGTTTTTAGACACTTATCAGTGTCTGACAGGTGTATGTCATTAATATTTCCAATTTGACCTATGCCATAAATATCATCAACGTCTGACTCCACGGACTGGTTATCATTATCTTGATTTAAGTTTTTGATTGATTTTGAACCACTTTGTTTAGATAGTAGGGACTTGATACATACCTTTGAAATGTGGCCCTTTTTGTTACATGCATTACAGCGGACTCGAGATCTGTGCAGTCTGCATTGATGTGACGTATGATTGTTTTTGCCACACCGAAGACAAACGCCATTCAAGCCAAGAGCAATTAAATCAACTCGTTCTTTGCGCCGATAGTGTCCTTGTAGTGTAGCAGAAGAAATTGAGCAGTTGCGACTGCTGTCGGAAGAACGACTGATGCTCTCGCCTGACGAACGATGGCTGAATCAAGCTGACGATCGATGCCTTTTCAAATGTACTGCCACCTTGTTGACACCTACGTTGCTGTAAGATGGTTGTGACTGCTGCGAAAACTCGTCTATGGCATTGGAATTCAGCTTTGAAGCTTCAATTGCTAAAGCTCGTGTTACAGCAGAGTCAAAAGTTAGATCCTTCTGTTGAAGAAGGTTCTCCCTTATGGAAGAATCCCCAATTCCTCGTATGAATTGTGCCCTGAGGAATAGGTCAGAAACAGAAGCGTTGCAAGTAGAACAGGCAACATTACAAGTCGAAATTTGCGTTTTGAGGGA